CTGTTATTGCTGCCAGGCTATAAGAGCTTAGCTGATTTAGACAAGTCTGTTTCATGCCAGGCTTCCCTGAAAACAAAAAAAAATGTGGGATACCCATAATCCTCCCCTACTGCCTGAAGGTAAAGGCTGATGTTGCTCTCCTGCCATCAGTGATATCTGCAGCTACTGATGGATAAAACATGCCCAATATTTCCCAAATCTCCTGCAAGTGTGAGCGCAGCTCCACTGGGAACGTGGTTACTCAGTTGGAACACTTTGGGATCATTCTCACTTCAGGTGGCAGCCTTCCTGTTCATAAGACGTTACTCTGTACTGTGATGGTCGATATTTGTGTGAGGCATCCCCTAGAGTGGCTAAATAGTCCCACTCTGGCACCTTGAACTCTGTTATATTTAGTGCAGAGTAATGCAGTGTGTTGAGATGGTACCTGGTTCACTTCCCTCTGTTTCCTTGGGCTCCGCTTGCCCGAGATTTTCAAATCCCTTCCAATGCCGTTCAAAACAGTCAGACTATAGAGGTCAAAGCTGTCAGCAACTGTCTCCATTTACCAGTGCCAGTGTCAATGTCTGCCATCTTCTTATCTAACAGGTCATAGAGTCATACAGCACAGAAACAGACCCTTTGGTCTAACCAGTCCATGCTGAACATAATTCCGAACTAAACTAGTCCCACCTGCCTGCTCCTGGCCCATATCCCTCCAAACCTTTCCTATTCATGTACTTATTCAAATGTCTTTTAAACATTGTAAGTGTACCTGTGTTCAATGACCCTGACGCTAGCTCCTGGTTTGATATGAGAATTGTAATCCTCCAATTTGAATCTGTTTCCTTTACCACCCTCACTGCACCTCAATCACTTTCACCAGCCCCATGACTCTGAGATCTAAAATATCCCCCAATTTCTGACTCTGTGTGCAGCCTCTGACCTAGTCTCTACTCCCCTGGATTAAAGCATATTACAGACCAGAAACGCGTCATCACAAACTGGAATCAAACATTTCAGCGGATTTTTGTCAGTGCTAATGGAGTCCTCAGGTGGCTGGTGCTTTTTCAGATCAGGTTACATTCTTTGTTTTATTTGTGTGAGAGAGATGTATATACACAGAGCAAATACAATTCATGGGACACAGCTTGATTACATTTTGGCAAGTTGTTATTTAACCACTGGTGTATTGAGCCAGCAAACAATCTATCGATCGAACATTTCATTGTGAATCCTTGGAAATTGGCAGCATGTGGTACAGATAGATAAACCGTGTTTCTCTCATGATGTTTTACACAGGGCAGAGGTTATAGCCTCTGCCCTGCTTTAATATAACAGTGAGCGAGAAAGAAATATCTTCTCTGATGAGCTGAGTTCATTGTGACACTGATGCTTCAAGAAAGGTTCATTTACTTTGGACAACGGTCATGAAAGCTTCATGTCGAATGCTTATTATGGTCTTGAGTTTGAAGAATTGTGGATGTCTACATGGCTTTTATCTTTACTCTTCCATGGGACATGTGTGCCATTGACAAGGCCTTTGTTTATTCTGAAGAAGGGTCACTGGGCATGAAACGTTAACTCTGCTTTCTCTCTACAGATGCTGCCAGACCTACTGAGTTTTATCCAGTAATTTCTGGGTTGTTTTGTGCGTGTGTGTGTTGCCCATCCCTAATTACTCTTGAACTGAGCAATGGCTTGCTTGACCATTTCAGTGGGCAGTTAAGAGCAGACCACATTGCTGTGGGTCTCGAGTCGCAGGTAGGCCAGACAAGGCAAGGCCAGCAGTTTGTCCTCCCTAATGTCCATACGTGGACCTTAATGAACATATGTAGTTTCACAAAAAAGTAAAAGCAAAATACTGTAGATGTTGGAAATCTGAAACAAGCACAGAGAATGCTGCAGAAACTTAGTATTTTGAATCTAATAGGACCCTTCCTCAGAACCGTACTGTTTTTGAAAGGTTAACTCTTTCTCTGCCCACAGACACTGCCAGGACCTGCTGAGTTTCTCCAGCATTCTCAATGATATAGTTTCATTTTTTAAAATCTATTATTTTTATCTGTTGAACGTACATTCCACCAGCAGTCATCGTGGGATTTTAACCCATTTTCCTAGAGATTTTGGCTAGGCTTCTGGATTACCAGTCCCGTAATAAAAGATGGGGTGGACAATGTGAGAGTTGGTAGTTTTGTGGTAAATAGGTGCTGAATGGACAGTGGTCAGGGTTATTTTAACGAGGTGTTTCTTCATAACTGCTTGTTCACTGGAGGCCACCTGAATGGCTTCGTGACTGCCAGGTTCCAAGTTGCGCTTGGGATATTGTTCAGAGTAGTTGGGGATGAAAGGAAGAAGCTTCCCAACTCAGCTCTCCGGTTGCTGGGAAAGAGCCGTTGTTGTGGGTGCAGTGTACACCTGGAGCCCAGGTCCAGCTGCTCCTGTGTGAGGAATCTCTAGAGGAGTTTGTCAGCGTTTCCTTAAATGACTGTATCTGCAAAGACTGACCACCCCCGTCCCACCGACTCCGAGATAGCTGCACACAATCACTGGCCTCTGTTGGCTACAAGTGCTTTTTTTTTTAAATCTCTGCAGAGAGAAATCCATGTTTTCCCTTTGCCTGATTTTGTGCGCGTATCTGTGTGTGTGTGTTACCTAGATGGGTAAACATTTATATTTTCAGATTACAAATTTTGTGTGTTAACTATCTTCTTTGAAAACGTTTGCTGCTATAATAATTCTGTAATTTTCTGTTTAATGACAAGACCAATCGATTGGATCTTTTTCTTTTAAGTATGAATTATGGAGGTGTACAATTGGCCAGATTGGGAACTGGTAAACCAGTCACGTTTATGTAGTAGACACACAGGAGGCTGGAAGAACACAGCAGGCCAGGCAGCATCTGGAGGAAAGGAACAGCCAACGTTTCGGGTATTCCTGAAGAAGGCTAACACCCGAAGCATTGACGGCTCCTTTCCTTCAAATGCTGCCTGGCCTGCTGTGTTCTTCCAACCTCCTGTTTTGTCTACCTTGGATTCCAGCATCTGCAGTTTCTTTGTCTCTAAATTGCAGAGTAGTTGATCGAGAGAAAGAGAATGTGCTGCTCCCATCTCAGTCAGAACACAACCAATAAAAATCATTGCAGCACCTTCAGTACAGCAAGGAGGCCATCAGCCCCTCTTTCTTGTGCCAGCCCTTTAAAGGAGTTATGCAGTTAATCCCATTCCCCACCTCTTCCTCCATCATCCTGCGAATTTCTCATCCCTGGTGCTATTTGAGACAGTTGCCTGTTTGCCATTTGCAAAGTTTGGAAAGCTTTCCTGAAATGAGTTCCCCAGAACATGGCAGCACCTCTACCTTATCCTTGAGTTAAACAAAGACCAACTGTTGAGTTAAAGCCCACTACGACGTTCAAATTCACAAAAGAACAATTAAAAGTTTGTGAAGTTGGGTGAAATGATCTCCCCACCTTCTAAACGTGACTTATATAGGTCTAAGTGCAACTCACTGAAGGCATCTTAGCACCTTCCAAACCCACGATTACTACCATCTAGAAGGATAAGGGCAGCAGATACATGTAAACATTACCATCTGCAAGTTCCACTCCAAACCACTCACCATCCTGACATAACAATATATCATTATTCCCTCAGTGTCAAAATTCTGGAACTACCTCTCTAACTTCCTGCCATTTTAGGTCCACATACACCACAGGTATTGCAGCAGTTCAAGAATGCAGCTGACTACTACCTTCTGAAGGTCAGCTAGAGACTGGCAATAAATGTTGACCAGCCATAACTCCCATGTCCCATTGACCATGCAATTAACGCATCAGCATTTGCAGCTTTTGCTGCTAAATTCTCACTCTTGTATTCTCATTCATGTTTACTAAGACACAAAGTAGAATGGATTACACCATTTTATTCATTCATAGGATATGGGCAGCACTGGCCAGGCCAGTATTTATTGCCCATCCCTAATTACCCAGAGGGCAGTTATGAGTCAACCACATTGCTGTGGGCCTGGAATCACGTGTAGGTAAGGATGGCAGTTTCCTTCCCTAAAGGACATTAGTGAACCATTTGGGTTTTTGCAGTGACCAACAATGGTTTTATTGTCATCATTAGACTCTTAATGTGTGGAATTCTAATTCCACGAGCTACCGTGGTAGGATTCGAACCCCGATCATGACCTAGGTCTCTGGATTAATAGTCTGGCAGTTAATAAGACTCGACCATCACCTCCCCTAAAGTTGCAAGGATCTTTGCTCCTTGAATAAAGAGCAAGTTCCCTGCACCAGAATCGCCAGCTATTTATGTTTGTGCCTCACTTTGGATGAAATGAAGCATCTCAGAGTGGTTCACATGAGTGTTATCAGGTGCATGAGGGCAAATGCTTGGATAAATGATTGAGTTTGAAGGGGGAAGAGAAATGACTGCGAGGTTTTGAGCAGAAGTTCCAGAGCCTCGGGCTCAGAAACTATAGGCATGGCTGTCGACGGAGTGACGGAAATCAGGGGTTTGAGAAGTCAGGTTTGGAGGAACAAAGAGATATTGTGGGGCTGGAGGAGATTGAAGGCAGTCAGAGATTTGAAAATTGAGGTGTTTCTTGGACAGGAAGTCAGTCGGTGTGGATCATTGAGATCAGAGGGGGAAGGGTGAATGGAACCTCATCCTCCTCCTGCTCCTAATATACAGAAAGGGGGGCCCCAAAAGACAAAACCAACGTAATCTGTGGAAGCTTCCAGATTGCCACCAATTAATTATGTTTTTGAGTTTTTATAAATTGATTTGTGCCTTTACTGTGACAGTAATTCATTCCACACAATGTCCAGGTCCCAGGCAGTATCTGTGGGCAACGCAATCCTCCTCTAACTGCTCTTCATCTCAGCCTACCATTTATCTCCTCCTGATCCTTCCTCCCTTGTGTTTGTCCAGCTGTCCCCTTGTGTATCTGTGCATCTCATGATTGTGCGAAACCTTGTTTAAAATTTTAACCAGCTTTAATATTTTTATTTGCAGTTACCCTGCTGTATGTGACTTCCTACAACACAATAATTTATTATCAGTAATCCGAGCACATGAGGCACAGGATGCTGGGTAAGTGTTTGATTTTCCAGCAGAAATGTAATCTTGTTCCTACTTTTAATTAAGCCTTGTGCAATAACATTCATACTGGGTGTGCCCCACTGAGCAGCTTAAATTTATTACATTAATCAATAAGTACTGGGCTCTTTAGGGATGGCTTCCTGTGAATATTTTCCAATCGGCTCGTTCTGTGATGTTGAGGCACGCCTCTGCAGCAGGTGGGGACTTGAAGCTGGGCCTCCTGGCTCGGAGGTAGGGACACTGCCACTCCAGCCCCTGACATCTTCCTGTGCAGTGAATTGAATGTTGGTTATAACCGACTGAAGAGAATTTTGAGTCTGGCGATTCAATTGATTGAAATTCACCTGAGCTGAATGAACCTAACGTGCAGCCATCTGCATTATCCTACTGTTTCTTCAGTACATTTCGATTAAAAAGTAAAATACTGCAGATGCTGGAAACTCGAACAGAAACAGAACATTCTGAAAGTACACAGCAGGTTTGACAGTGCCTGTGGAGAGAGCAACTGAGTTGGCGACTCAGTTCTCACGATCACTCTCAGGCCCGATATATTCACTGGGTTCCTCTCTCCATGATGCTGTTTCGCCCGCTGAATGTTTCCAGCTTGTCCTGTTTCTGTTTCAGACTTTCCAATGACAAACCTGTAAGCCAGGGGCTAGTACTGGGACCTTTCCTCCCCTCAGGCTATTGAAACTAATCCAGGAGATCCACTTGTTCCGTATGAAGACACTGACCTTCTATACAATGTGATCTCTGCCCCAGTCAGGAACCGGTCCAGCTCCCTCTTGAAGGGATACAGAGAGTCAACACCCAGCACCTCAAACGGCAACACTTTCCAGAAGCTCACTCAATGGGCACCTGGTGCTTTTGGATTCCCCGCCGAGAGCTTCAGAACTTTAACCACTGCTCCAAACTAAAATGTGACAGTAAGGTAATGACCCTGGTTCAAACTGGCAAAAGGCAACGTTAGCCCCGTTATCAGAAACATCTTCACGTTGAGGTATATTGACAATGTGGGATGGGGTTCTTTATAGCACCATGGAATCAAAATCCCTGGAGACTGTCAGGAAGTATTTGAAACATTGATTGTTTTAAACGATTTAATTCGTGGGTGTACGGAGGTGAAGTATGTGGTCTTTACAGCCCTATCTGTCTAGTTACCCAGGTTCTGTTTCAAACAATGACAATCACATGTGTAACATCAATAGTCTTGCTGATTGAACTAATCATTACTTGCTACATGTCTGGAGCAAATTCACAGAAAAAGAATTAATCAACACCGTAACATCTGAGATGCAGCAGTCATTTACTGAGGCAGGTGAAAGGTAAACTTTGGATGATAATGGTACACTTTGGTAAATAGACTGCAGTTGTATGAATGCCCAACCTTTGTGTAACTGGATACACTGATATTCACAGGTACCGAATGTATAGAAAGAGTCAAACAACGGGCTTTCCTTCACTAATCACCATCTTTTCAGCTCCCAACTACCTGGATGTCTACAACAACAAAGGTATGAGGATGTGTATCATGTGTATTGGTGATTACTGAATTAATGTGCTGCTAAATTATTTCAAGGTCTATCTCAGATTAGGGAGTCCTGATCCTTGAGTAGCCAAGGGCAGCTCCTTCTGGCTATGTCTGAAGGTAATTATTTGCAATTCTGAATTTTATTTTTTTGACATGTTGACAATGATTTGACTGCTGCTTTGAGATTTCCAAAGATTGGTACTCAATCTTGATAAGTTTGCTCTCAGCCTTGTGTGTCTGTCACCAGATGTGCTGTTAGAATGTGTATGTCCAGATGTTAAGCTGCAAGGTATCACTGTTTATTAAAGGCAGGGAGATGGTTGAGGTGGGAGAAATTTAGAGCTAAGTTTATGTTTGAACTGTGAACACATCAGTGTAACAAAATAAAGTTGGGCATAAAAATTTATAAATCTCGCTATGTCAATGTTGTAAACTCTCAAGTTGGACCGAAGGATCTGTTTCTATGCTGTATGATTCTGAGACTCTCTGACTTTCAGGAATTTATTGGTCTTCTGTTTTTGAAGACTCCTGACAATTTCTTATTTAAATTGGTAAACTGCAGTCCTCAATAGAAAGTCAATTTAGGAGCTTAAAAGTGTTTCTTGTTTTGTACTTCAGCATTAAGTAATTATTACAATAATTACAATAGGCAAAACAATGTAGATTGTGAGAAATGTTTATGAATCATTTTCCAATTATCTCGGGTGACAGTCCACCCTGTTTAGTGAGCTGTGGTTTGATTTCTGGGCAAGGTCTTTGTAGAAGTCATTCCTGAGGCAGCTGGTGATAGTATGGTGTGGACAATATTGTCAGGTATTGTATGATGCTGATGTTCTCTGTTCCAGTGGTAAGGCTTTGTCAGTATTATTGACGCTAAATTGCTCCACCTCCTCCTGAGAATTTCATTGTCAAAAGACATTTGTGCAAAACTGTTCTGGTACATTAAGTACCAGCATAGCTACTGATGTTGCATAAAAACTGACTGAGGTGGTCTGATCTTTCCCAAATAGTTCTGTTACAAGACTGATTCATTCTTAGAATTTCACAGCACAAAGGAGATCATTGAGCCCATCACAGTTGTTTGCAGGAGCTACCTAATTAGTCTCTGTCATCTTATTCTTCCTCCTAGCCCTCAATCTATTTCCTTAATTACTATTTAATTCCTTTCACTATTGAATCTGCTTCCATCCCTCTGTCAAGTAATTCTGCAGCAAATACATTGTCCAGAAAGGATTTCTGCTCGCTGTGGCTGGGGCTGTAAGTTTCTGCAGTTCCCTCTCATTGCTCAGCCAAAGAATGAGGGTTATTTTATGTTATTCTTCTCCTTCCCCTGTAAACACCAGCTGATTTCCTGCCACTGCTACCCTGCTTGGTGCTGATTGGGAGCCTGTTTCAGTTTGATGCTCTGAGTAGTATCAGGCCATCGGAGATTAAGTTGTCTTGGAGTAGGGTTTGACAGGTCAAGTGGTATCCGTGGAAGACAGAGTGAGTTATGGGATGGCCTAGGGTTTGTGTTGTGTACTAATGCACCAGGAATCACAATGTAGAGATCTGTCAGGGCACCAGAGACACACACTGCCATTGGTTCCATGTCTTGCTGGCAGTTTGCACTGGACTCTGAAATGAAGTGGGAACCTGAATCAGTGACTGATGTTTTACCATCTCATCACCAACATGCTTTGACTTCTTGTCAATAAAATATTTCTCTGTTCTCTGCTTTCATCAGTTCCAGTTCATAACCGTTGTGCTCTGATTTCCATATTAGAAATAAGTTCCAAAAAGCCATTCGCATGAATAGGACCAGGACTGAAAGGTTATAACTTATCAGAAATTTTAAAAAAACTGAAGATCTGGGGATTCTTCAGTGAAGAACCAGGGAGTGACCTGATAGAGGACTTGAAGATTATGACGAGGTTCGATAACATGAACAGGAGGATTATGTTTCAATTATGAGGAGTCCAGAATGAGGGGTCATTAATAAAACAGATAAATCCTACGGGGAATTCAGATGAAATCTCTTTCCCCGGAGAATGGGGAAAATGTGAAACTCATCGTTCAAGGAGTGTTCGAGGCGAACCAACATCAATAGAGTTAAGGACCAGAGGAACAGAAGTAGGCCATTCAGCCCCTCAAACCTGTTTCACCACTAAATAGGATTGTGGCTGATCTGTAGCCTAACTCCATATACCAGCCTTTGGCCCATATCCTGAAATACCTTTCCTTAACAAAAATGTATCTATCTCAGACTTATACTTAACAATTGATCTAGCATCCAATGCCGTTTGTGGAAGAGAGTTCCAAACCTCTCCCACCCTTTGTGTGTGGAAGTGCTTCCTAACATCTCTCCTGAACGGTCTGGCCTCAATTCTCAGACTGTGCCCCTACTTCTAGAATCCCCAACCAGTGGAAGTAATTTATTTTCACCTACCTTCTCTTTTCCTGTTAATATCTTGAAGACTTCAATCAGATCATCCCTGTTCCTTCTAAAAGAGGAAACTGGGTAAACACACCTTGGAGAAAGGGATAAGAGGAGATGGTGAAGGAAGGGAGATATGAGGAGCCTGGTATAGAGTGGGAGCATGAGCCACGGACCATTTGGGAACAGTCTATACTTATCCTTTCAAACAAGCAGGAAGGAGAAAACTGTTGAAGCTTGTTTGGTTTTTAGACAAGTTTTCAAATGTTAATTTTACTCTAGCCATCTGTGGATGCAAGGATCAACTTGTTTGGATCAGTAGTATGAGAGCTACCCAAAAACCACATCCCTTGTCATTGCTGTACTCTAGTAAACTGATCCAGAAACCAGTTACAATAACTGTCACGACCTGGACCTTTTATTATGGTATTTATTTCTGGTTAATGTTTAATGGCTGGATCAGGTGTTTACAACATGAGTAGATATTGTTCCATTAGCCTCTTTGTGCATAACCCATTAACCTCTCACCTTATGCAATATTGAAATTGCTTTTTTGAATTATTCTAATTAAAAATTCATTAGATAGATGACACTAACAACAGCTTATATTTAAATAGTGCCTTTAATGCATTAAAATGAACTGAGCGACAGCTCCTTGCTGTAGCTCCTGGTGCTGGGAGATCTGGGCTCACACTTGATGTCTGTCTGCCTTGTACTATCCTTACACATGGACTTCAGCTTAGCTGTCACCCAACAAGGACCATCCCTGGTTTGTCTGCTGTCCTTAACCCTCTGGGTGAGGTCTCTGTCAATTCTTTACAGGAGCATTTATAAAACCTGTTTCGATATCAAACCAGATAAGCACATATTCAGGCAGGGGCTAACAGCCTGGTCAACAGAAGCCTTCAGGAGTCCTTTTTTTATTATTCATTTGACAGGATGAAGGCATCGTTGGCCAGGCCAGTATTTATTGCCCAGAGGGCAGTTGACTCCTGTGTGAAAACATTCCAACCCAATATCAGTCCCATCAGCCCTTTGGTTAATTAAGTCAATAAACAATATCTTTGTCGTACAGAACTTTAAACCTTGCTTCAAAATAGACCCAGAGTCAGAGCTTGATGTTTTGCGTTCATCAGGATGAAAACAAACTTTGCAAGGGGACAACAATTTATACAGCGCGAGAAGAGAAAGCGAATTGTTTGGACCTGGTTAGGATGGAGACACGACAAAAGCCGTTAATCCTAGTTAGCTGACTGAGCTCAGACCAGGCAGATGGACTCATTGGTCAAGGCGATGCCATGGGGAATGCAGTGCAAATTAGCAGTCTGTAAAATCCTTTCATCAATGAAAAGATTACAATAAATTGACTGAAGCTATATATAGAGACCACATATATTCACATTCATGTCAGCAAAAGAAATTTGTCCATATATCCTTTATTCATTGACGGGATGAGGGCATTGCTGGCTAGGGCAGTATTTATTGCCCATCCCTAATTACCCAGAGGGCAGTTAAGAGTCAATCCTTACCTGGGCTGGAGTCACATGTAGGCCAGACCAGGTAAGGATGGCAGTCTCGGTCCCTAAAATTTGAGTATAGATCCTGAGTCCCCAGACCATTATCTGGGTCTCCTGAGAGAGGTGGAGAGGTTTAAGGAAGGAATTCTAGCACTTAAGGCCAAAGGTAGCTGAGGCACAGTTACCAACGGTGCAGCGACTAAAATTGTGGATACTCAAGACAACGGGATTTGAAGAACGCAAAGGGAGGGGTGTGAGGGCTGGAGGAGGTGACGGAGATAGGGACGGTGTAAAGGCTGCAGAAGGTTGTAGAGCTGGAGGAGTGTGGGCATGGGGGTGTCAGGCAATGCCATGAGGAATTTGAAAAGAGTGAGCATCTAAAAATCGCATTAATTGTTTGGCCATACAGAGGCCGAGTATTGCTTTAAAAACACACACACATGGTGAACCTTTTTTATCCCTCACTCATCAGGACAATTCATAAGAACATCACTTCAAGGGGGATCCTGCACGTGAGGGGTGTGCTGATGAGTTTGATCCACAGAACTGATACAGCACAGAAAGAGACAATTCAGCCCATCTGTCCGTGCTAACCCAAAAGCACCCAGATGGTCTTTCTTAATCCCATCTGCCTACAAACGGCCCATACACCTGCAGCTTTCAGCACTTAAGGTGCAGGTCCAGGTACTTCCCTTTTTAAAAGGAGTTTAGGGTGTCTGCGTCCCTCCCACCAACTCAGGCAGTGAATTCCAGGCTCCCACTAATCTCTGCATTAAAAACACAAATCCTCCCGCCCACTCTAATCGTTCTGCCCCTTAGCTTGAACCTATGACCCCTGATTTTTGAACTCTCTGCAAAGGGAAACTGGTTCCTCCTGTCTACGTTATCTCTCCCTCTCACAGTTTTGTATACCCCAATCATGTCACCCTTCAGCGTTCTTTGCTGTGTGGAAAACAACCCCAACCTCTCCGATCTCTCCTCGTAGCTAATTTTACTTTTTTGACCTGTCTGCCATGTGGAACCTTGTCAGATGCCTTACTAATATCCATG